AGGTATCTTTCTACATATAGAAAAACTAAGAAAAAAATTGCAGATTCACACACGAAAAAATATTATTTTATATAAAATTTAACGTCTATGATTCAACGTTCCGAACATTGAAAGAAATTTGCTAATGAAAAACGTCTGAAACTACGGAATTTCTATGCAAAAAGCGCATTCCAAAAAAAAAATAAGCGTTAAAACGCATTGGATATAGCTTTTTCAATCGTTTATTAGGATAGTTAAAACGGCTGTACATATTTTAGTAGTTTTCATTTACTTAAAAATAAAATAGTTGACGTTTATATGGCCGGTTTTTTAAAAACGCCCAAAAACGCTCACTAATTGAGTTTTTAGGTGTTTAAACGCGTTTTTGAAAAATTTTGTCTGACCAGGGAGTGATGGTATATTGAGTGGTGGTTGAAAATTAGCGTTTGTACGGAAACTTGTATCAGTGGATGTTGTTTGACAGTCGCTGTTTTCGACTGCGAGGGGAAAGCGCGTGGAAAATCAAGGCGTGACATGGTTTAAGTGGTAGAAACGCTGAACTGATTAGAATTTGATCGGGTCAGAAAGTGAACGTTTTCACGCCTATATTAATGGAACGTGTTTGGTTCACAGTTGCGATTCCCGATTGTGACCCATTAACGTTTCGGAAAGATTGTCGAGAATGAGGCGTTTTTTGTGTACGTTTAGGTGGTCAGAAAAAGTTTCGTTTTCGATGCAGTGAAAATAGCGCGCGTTTAATTTTTTTGCGTTTTCATGGTGTAGTTTATTGGTCGTTTGCGGATAGCAATCTGGAACCTCAAGTGGAATACAGAAACGATGTTGAAATGTATAGTGTTTAAACGAGTTTTTGAAAAATTTTGTCTGACCAGGTACACCCATACCCACACCCGTGCATATATAAATAAATTACGACATCGAAACTCCTCGGAGTTGATGATATCAGCCATTTAAACGTTTAGAGTTTTGAGTCATGCAGATATGAAAAAATTCATGTATCAAAACTCGTTGAAGTTATTAATATCGAGCGTTTAAACGGTTAGAATCTACTGTTAAAAATATATCTGAAATATTTGCTGCTTCACTATGTTGAAATATTGAAGCACCATTGTTTAAACACTTGAATTTTTGGAATCGTTAATCTAACAAGATATGCGGTGAAGATAACGTCCAGTTCGCCTAACTTTGAAGCGTGAATATGGTTAGTAATTATCATAGAGACTCGAATGATAAAAACGTTGTGGAAAACGTGCAAAAACATCAACTTTTTGGTGCGTAAAATGTGTTTTCGGGATCATTTAGCGTTTACACGGCAATAAAGTCAGCTTCCGAGATGTTTAAACGTCTGCGAATATTCAACAGAAAAAAATAAACGTTTTCACCGGTGGAATTCCACAATTCTGAGCGTTGACACGTCCATCTTTTTTCTGACGCGTGTAAACGCTTCGAAAAGTCAATTTTAAAGTGTGTACACGCGTTTTCTCAAAAGTTTGTCTGTCTGGGATGTACTCATGAACAAACAATTAATATAATGAAGATTCACAATATTTGACATATTATTTATTCTAAATTCTAGATGAAATCTATTCAATATCAATCAATAATATTGAACGATTGATTTCAATAATAAAAATAATATTATAAAAATAAAGACGAACAAATAAAGAAAAAAATAGACACTTTTTGGAAGAAATAATCATTGAAAATATGCATTTTGGTGATTGAGTCAATATAATAAACATCTTATTGATAGATAAAACAAATAATTTGAAATAAAAAATTATCATTTTATTAGAAGTTAGAGATTTTATTTTAAAAATTTCTATTATCAAATGATTTAATTAAAATCTCAAATGAATTCAAAGATATTTATTGTTAATAAAATAGAAAAATAATCTTAAAACAATTATACTATAATTTAAATTTATGTCATTTATATTAAATATCATCGATTTGATCGTTTAAGTGAATAGTAGAGACCTGCGGAGTCAGGTTTTTTTATTCCGAAACCCGACTCCGACTCCGAAAAATTTCTTCTTTACGGCTCCGACTCCGACTCCGATTCCGAAAATTTTTATTTTTTGACTCCGATTCCAACTCCGAAAAACTCCGAGAAACTCCGAATTTTTTTATTAACAAAAGGAAATCTCAAATATGTTTTATTGTTTAATTTACAACATGCGGGAATCAATAATAAGGTTGCTACATTACTACCATGAAGTCTCTCTAAAGTGAGCATGATCGAGACTATTGAAAAATGTTCCTAATAACCAGAGGTTCGCCTTCGGAAGGTCCATTTTCAGCAAAAATCGTCTTTCCGGACTCGTGAAAAACACTAATAATAACGAGGTTTTCACTATAGAGAGGCGCTCACTACTAGAGGTTTTACTGTATTATTTTTTTATACTACAACTGGGTAACAGGTAATAATTTTATATACCTTATTGCTAGTAATAAACTAATAACAATATTGCTTCTATGAGTTACTAGTTTTAATACTATACTACTTTATAACATTTTTACCTTCTTCCCTCTGTTACTTTCGCAGATTATTTCTAATTACCTACAATAATTAATAACCTTATATGCTATTACTTGCTACCAGTAATAGCAATGTAGTTCTGAACGATAAAGGAACAAACGAGTGAAGGAATATCTAAGAATCATTAATAGATTAATTTGAAATTTCTTGTACATTTGTTGTTCAGTGGAAATAAAAAACAATCGCTAACAAGTTTTCGATATGTACTATGTTCAAGCAATCGAAAATTGGTGATCAAGAGAATTGTAGTACTGCTGATGAAATTGCAATATGTTTTCATTGATGCCATTATGCTTTTACGTAGCCAGTCTTTTGAACGATACAGCCAAAAGATTATCAATGTGAGGTTTTTTTCCTTGAAACTCGTTCTTAATATATGTAGCAACTGTTATCATTCTTTTTTTTGTTTGTTAAGCTGAAGAGTAAAGCTGCTCTTATTTGAAACAGCAAAAGTTATTCAAACGTGGTCATGACTTTGACTCCAATTTGACTCCGAAAAATTTTTTCAGAAAACCCGACTCCGACTCCGACTCCGAAAAATTTCGTTTTGCTGACTCCGACTCCGACTCCGACTCCGACTCCGACTCCGACTCCGACGGAGTCGGAGTTGAAATCGGGTTTCGGAGTACTCCGCAGGTCTCTAGTGAATAGATAGATTAGATCTTAGTTTTTATTCAATGAATATTTATTTTCTTAATTATATAAAATAATAATTTCTTTGTTTTCTTGCTATCGATCATCAAACTGACTTTAAAAATAAATCAGATGATAAATGATGCTCTTCAAATATATTATTTAGATAATAAATATCTAATTAAAATATATTTTCTTCTATTGAAACATAATATTAATAATATTAAACATATTATTCATATTTACAATAATTAATTAATTAATTAATTAATAAGTTATCTTTTGTTTATTTTTGTTTATTTTAGTTCAACCTATTATTTTTATATTATTTTAATTGATAAACATCGCGCAAAATGATCTCTCGATTTCTTAAATCTTTATAATAATTTAACTAGCATTTAAAACATAATGCTTATTATCGTCGTGCATTAATTCATCATAAGATAACTGAAAAAATATCTTTAAACTGTGTTGCACATTATCATTTCTATATATGTTCAACGAATATAACTATCTCAAATCTCATTTGTCTTTAAAACATAAACAAAGTATTGTCAATAATGAGAATAGAATTTCAAATAATTCTGTATACGAATAAAATCTCTTCGATAAAATCATATATAAATAAGTAACAGTGATGGGATCGATTCATGTTTTTTCCAACCGAACCGATTAAAAAATCAAGAATAAAAAGTTTATCAGTTTCTAATCTTTTTTCAGAATATACATATTCACTTACAACAATTTATTGAAGAGATGATTATAACGTTTTCGATAGTTCGAAGAGTGACCTAGAAAGACGAGCTGCATACAATGTTAAAAACATAAGTATTTTCGTTTTTATATTAGAAATATTTTCCCATCGGAAAAGACTGTAGCATATTTTTAGTGGTTAGCCAATCTTTTTCTTAATCAAAAACGACTGATTGCGTTTTCGTTCGTCGTTCAGTGTAAAGGACACAACTTGTTTCAATTAGCAGGTTATTATTCTTTGAAAGACATTCTGTGACAATGTCATATAGGGTAGATTTTGAGAAATAATTTTTATATATGTCATAATTTCTAGTCATTACCCTGTATTTTTCTAGTTTATGATTTCTGAGTGATGGAGCACTTGAAAATAATAAACTAATGATGAGGAAAAACACACCTATTAAAAAAGAAAGTGTTGCTCTTTAAAATATAACGATTTCGTCAAAATTGTAAAACTGTTTTCGTCTTTTACAGTTTGAAAAGTAATAATCACTATAATTGACTGACTAAACTTGAAAGATCTGAAAATCTCAGTAAAGCTATCCATTTTAAGACATTAATTAGATGATTTTTTCTAACTTTATTACCGTCTGCTAAAGATTATTTTGAAGTTCAAAACAAAGCGAGGTTTAATTAATACATTAAAAACTAATAGAAACTGCTAATCAATTAATATTTGCTTATATGTATATGAGTGCTTCTTATTAAAATATTGTCTGTAAAATAATGTACTGAACGATGAACAAACCTATTGTTAGTAACTAAAGATTTATGAAAGAGATGAGTAAACAATAAAAATGTGTTATACTTTCTTCATTTACTTTTAGTGGACAAGTTAACATATATGTTAGAATATATATTTAGATGTAATCAGTTCCGGATATTTGGAACCGAACCGGTCCCATCACTGATAAGTAAACATTTAATGAAACAATACTTTATGTTATGATTATTTAGAATAAAATCTTCATTCTGTTCAATAATTAAATAAAATATGAGACAAAAAAAATATTGAAGATTTATTGAAATTGAACAAGCATTTAGGAAGTTTTTGTTTTTGTTTTTTTAAATAAAATTAATTTTTTTTAATCGATGTTCCTTTATTTAATGTTGAATAATTATTTAATTGTTTTTCAATTTGTTGCGTTGATAAATAAATTGTTGGTGGAAAACAAATTGGTTGATAACTAATAACTGGATAATAACCAACAATAATAGCTTGATTTTGATGATTTTCTTCAACAACTATTGTTTCATCTTCAATTTTTTTAATATAATTATCTTGACGAATTGAATATGGAGTTGATGAACGATTTATTTCTCTTTTCTAATCAAAATAAAATTATTAATATATTTATTTATTATATATATTATTTACTTGATATTTATCGAATTGTTCTGTTATTGTTTGATCATTTGACTGAAAAGTAAAACTGAAATCATCATTTGATGTTATTCGACTAGTTGAACATTGATCAAATGTAAAATCTTCATTTTTTGATCTTTCTAATTCTTCAAATTGTTTAGCATTTTTTATTTGAATTTTTTTCTCAGGTGATTCTTCAAGAATTGTTGAATAAAATGATTCACTTAATGATTGAAGACGTTTACCAAATAATGATAAACGATCTTCATTTTCTTTATTTATTAATCGACGATTAGACATTTATTTGACTGCTATACTTAAATATATCATATATTTATCGTCTTTTTTTCTTTATTTAAATAAATAAAGATCAACTTGTATAACCAATTCATTTATTCATTTATCAAGATGCCGCTCTTCATCGATTTCATTTATCAAACAAGATTTAATATATTCAATATAATCAATTTGACAAATAACTACAAATTATTTCAAGTAGAATCAAATTAATTTTCTATAAATTCAATTAGCTGATTAATTTAATATATTTACAAGAGTAACAGAGTTTAACTATATTTATGTATTAAAGTAGAATTGTCTTTAATTCTATTGATTTAGTTTTCTATCGTAGTCGAAATTTTATTTTTTGTCAACAGAGAATTTAATAAATATAATATTAAGAAAAATAAGATTTTAAGAATCTCGTTTTTCTTTTTATTTGATCAATTCAACAAGATAGATTACAATGACATATCAACATAACCAATGTAATATGGGACAATTATTCATTTCTCAACTTATGTTTATATTGAAAAACAAGTTTTTAAGGTAATTATCTATTTAATAAAGCAGAGTTCTCATCTCTTTTATATAAAATTGACATTTTTTAATGAAAACAAAAAAAAACTAGTCAATGAGAAGTTCTATTAGTGAGATTTTTTCAGCTAATTTCTCTCCTAGAGACGAGGAGCGAAAGAAGAGTGACTAGGTAAATGTTCATCAGGTATATATTCATAACAAACAATTAAGATAAGATAAGTCTGAGACTATTTTTCAATAGGTTCATAACAAGGAAAATAAAATCAGATGATTATTAGTATTAACAATAATGTTTAGATTTGTTGAAAAATATTGAAAAGACTTGGTTAGAATGGTAATGACTGAAAAATGTTTTTGAATATTCTAAATGGAATAATTTTTTTAAAATTTATCTCTATATAGTATATTCTATTCCCGATAAAATAAATAAGATAGAATATGAATGTATTTATTTAGTTAGGTTTTTAATATGATCAACAATAAATATTTGAACTAATTTTTTCAATTGTAAAATCTTGTGAGAAAGATATTCGAATTAATAATAAATATAAAATAAAATTAACAAAATTAATTTAAATAATTGAATAAAAACTGAAATATTTAAACAATTGTTTAAATATTGTCTAAACTATTAAGAAAAAAAACGTTAATTATTTATCAAATATATATTTAATTGATTGATATTTAAAAACTATTAAATAAATATATTTGATTAATATTATTTTTGAAATAAACGAATAAATAATCTTTATTAAATATTTAATTCAATTCATAATTGAAATGAAAAAGTGAAAATAATAATATAATAATTGAATATATTCGTTAAATATTTATTATCCTCATTTTATTTACAAATAATTTTGTTCAAATCTTTAAAATCAAATCTATTTAATCATTTTAAAAAAATCAAAATTATTTTCAATTCTAACAATGATTACTTTTTATTATAAATATATCAAATCATTTCTCAATCATTGAATATTTATCTTGTTTTTTTTTGTTTTTTTATGAAAAGAATAACTAACTTGGTAGTTCTATCAAAAAATATTTCAATATTCATGTTAATTATCTTACATTGATTATCTATTTAAATAATAAATGAAAGCAAATATAAAGAATATTTTATGAAAAAATGTCTAAATTTTTCGTTTGTTCAACTTTAAAATCAACTAATAATTAATTAAATATATTTGACATTGGACTACTCTACTTGTTCTATTAACATGAATATAAAATTGACGACATTTTTTTGTTTGTATCACCTCGAGTTAATATTTGATAGAGAATCTCTCGAACCTGTGATAAGAATTGTAAATGATATAATATGATAATAATTATTCAAGATTGAATCGAAATGATCAAGCTAATTGATTTTCTATTTGAGATTTTTCTATTTGGTTAAATAAATAAATAAACAAATGATCAAATAATATCGAATATTTTTAAATAATTCAATTTTAAAATAATATTAATATTTATTTAAATTAACAATTCAACGAAATATAAATTAAAATAAGATATTTTTAACTCGTTTCAATTAAAATCAATTGTATTTTATATTAATCGTTACAATTCATACCTTATTTTGTTTTTCATTATTTCGACAAAAAATTCTTATTAAATCTATTTATTTATTAAAAACAATAATAAAACATAATTATTTTTATTTTTATTTTCAAAGTAAAATCTATTTATTGAGATAAATATCATATCGAAAGTTTGTTTAATATCAACATAGAATTATTGTTAATAAATCAACTAAACTTTTTTTCAATGATTGGATGATTATTCGAAAATTTTAATTTATCGATTATAAATAATATAGATTGACTTTTTAATAATCTATTAGAATTTAACAAGTCTCTCTCAATGATATTATCAAACAGTTTTTCTCACAATTAAATATAATGTGTAATAAATTCTATTTATCTTAAAAGTGTCATATAGAGTTTCCATGATTTTATTGAATAAAATCTATCATTTTTTAAATATAAATCAACAGTTTATTTATTTCGATTATTAAAACCAATAGAATTTAATTTTATTTATTTGATTAAATCACTAAATTAAATAAATAATATTATTTTCATCGTTTTATCTCGAGAGTTTTATTAAGAAAACTAATTTATATATTTATTGTTTTTTTTATTTGATTTTCAACAATAAATAGATAAATTTATTTATTTATTTAGAAATTATTTTCCTATACGAAAAAACACAAAAAAGTGAAATATTCGTTGATAGTTTTCTTCTTTTTATTTTTATTGAGTAAAATATAAAGATAAATAGTATGGAAAATAAGAAGATAAATTTTCCATAAAAAGATTCAATTGAAATAAATTTATAGAATGAATAGATTTAAAATAAATCGAAAAAAACAACAGAAAATATTTTTTTAGTACCAAATAAGATATCCAGAAGTAAATCCATCACGATAATTCGATTGTCCTATTGGTAATTTACATCGACATAATGGACATGATGCATTTCTATCAAGCCATGATGATACACATTCTTCACAAAAAACATGCTAACAAAACAAAACAAAACAATATTTTATTTTATTTAAAATAAGTTATTACTTTGCATGTTAATATAATTGGATCTTGATATTCAGATTGACATATAGGACAAGAATTATTATCTCTTAATTCATTAATTGGTACTGATGGAAAAGGAAGTGTTTGAAATGATTCATTCAATGATTTACGTAATATAAATAATGATTTATATATATTATAAAATTTAACAGTTGAATAAAAAAAAAGTATAAATGATGAAAATAATATATTTCCTTGATTATTATCCATTATAAAATGTATCCATGGACGAATTGTTAATATACTTATATAAAATTGTGATAAATATTCAATTAATGAATAATATGATCCACGTTTACGATATGTTAAACACATTTTTCCTTTATCACTACTTAATGGATATAATATTAATAAACCTTTTAATATCATAACTATCATCCTAAACACGTTTTTTTTCTTAGAAAAAAGAAAATAAAAAAAATTTATGTACGTACTTAACAATACAAAATGTTGAATAAATAACCCAAAGAAGAGTCCATAAATTCCAATTAGTATATGATGGACGAGAAAAAATTAAACATAAATAAAATTTATCTTGTCGAAATAAATATAAAAATAATATTAATGAAACTATTAGAATAATAAGAACTCGTATAACTGGACAGAAATTTCTCGATGACTATTTACAATAACATATTTATTTATTAATAATTATATATATATATATTTACTTTTAAAGATGATTGATGAACTAAAACTGTATTTGCATGATAAATACTACCAGAAAAAAATATAACCATCAATATACCTATCATTAACAATAAATAAACATTTGTTTATTAGTTTCGATTTTTAAATTTTTTAAGTTAAACAAGAATATCATTTAACTATTTAATATAAATATATATTATTCATTTCTATCAAATATATTTTATTTTTAAATAGTTAACTTTACAGAATATAATTAAAGATTATTCGATTTATTCTACTAAATAGACATTCAATAAAATTTTGTCAAATATAAAAAAGAAAAAGAAATTTTTTTTTATGGTTATTATTATTGAAATAATATTTAATGTTAAGATATTTTAGAAATAGTTTTACTCAATTAAATTAAATATTGACGAATAAAAAAATTTTTTCGATATTTTATATTTATGTTAAATATCTTTACTTTTATTATATATTGAGAATTTTTTTTCTTTTTAAATCATCTAGATAAAACAATCGAACTTAAAATAAGATAAAATATTAATATTGTTTTTTTTTCAAATTAAATAATAAAATCGATCTTTATTTTATAGATTAATTATTTAAATGAACAGATCAACAATATCGAATTTATTTCTATTGATATATTTTATTTTAATAAAACATATCTTAACTGATTATAAAATAAGATTTTTTCGACATATTTGTATATATATTTCGTTTATCGTTAATAAATGGATATTATTCAACTTGATGTTTTTTTTGTTAATTTAATAAATTTAACTTGAAATAAATGTTTTAATCGGAAAGAAAAGCAAAAATTTTTACCTGCTGAATGTTCATAAAAAGCTTTAAGAATAATAATAAGAGCAAAAGGAAATGTTGATGTTAAATTATCTTTTAATAAATGAATTAATTGATGTAAATGATCATTATTAATATTATTTGTTGTTAAATTAGGTCTTGTTGTTTGTTGAACTTGATTAATAAGTTCTTCTTCAATTGTTTCAATATCTTCAATATTTGAATTTTCATTATTTAAATCAATACGATATTCGTTGTTTGACATTGAATTATTTAATCGACGAGGAATCATTCACATTTATTTATATCATTGTTTTTAAATCTAAAACAAAAACAAAAACAAAATCAAAGAGAAAAAGAGAAAAAGAAAAAGAAAAAAGAAAAAAATATTATTTATCAATAGATAATCTTTGAATAATAATTGGATATTTTGATGTATAATGTTCCCATTGAAGATCAGTACGTGATGGATATGTTGTTTTTAATTGTCCTTTATCATCAACAACTCTTGTTTGTTGTAATGTTAAAACTTGTCTAATATTATCTTGATTAGATTTATTTCCTAATTCAATATCAAGAATTTGACGTATAAGACAATCCATTACACGACGACATATATCCATTGAATTACTTGATGTTATTTCAATTAATATTGATTCACTTGATGGACTTAACTAGAATTAAATCAATCAAGAGAATTAATTTTATCATTAAATATTGAATAATCGATGAATATATAATTAATTGAAATAAATAATAAGAAAAAAAAAACTTGTAAATGTTTACTTTGGTTCTTTCAGCATTTGTTAATGGTGGAAGTGAAATAACATAACGATCTTGATCAGATAAACAAGGAAAATAATCTTGATCTTGTAATAATGTTAAATATCTATAAATAAATAAATAAATAAATAAATATAATTAAATTATATTCATTATAATATAAATAAAATAAAACTAACTTATGAAGACCTGAAAGTTGATTTCGTTTTTTTAATTTTCTTTCATGTTCAGCATCTCGACATAATTGATCATAAAAATCTCTTGCTGATATTAATTTATGACCTTTTCCAAGTGGTACAATACCTATATCATTTGGATCACGAGCATCATAAGTTAAATTTCCTGATATTAATGATAAATCATGTGTAGCTATTGTTGCTAACGTTCGTTTTTGACATATATCATCATGAAGTTCATTCTAAATTTACAATTTTACGATTTATATTTATTCGCCAAATATTCTCATAGAATTTTTTAAATATTTTATAGAATTGAATAGTTAAATAAAATATACCATTAGTCTTATTAATAAATATCTTTTTTTTTGTTTTTAGTGTACTCAAAAAGTGAGTACACTACTAAAATCGGTCTGTGTGTCCGGCCGTCCGTCCGTTTACACGATAACTTTCGAAAGAAGAGTCAGATTGTGATGAAATTTTCTACATAGTTCAGCCTTTAGAATGTCTCAGTCGAGTTCGAAGATGAGAAGGATCCGTCAAGAAATGACTGAGTTATCGAAAAAATTGTGATTTTTGACCAGACCATCCCTGAGGGGGGGTACGGGGATTTTTCGAAAAAAAATTTTTTTGCCCATAATTATTCACAAAATACATAAGTCGACTCAGTTTTTAACGCTGATTCTGAATCTGATATTAGTTTTGAACCGAATCATAGATTCATGTACTAGAAAAGTGAGTACACTATAGAATAGTCAGTGTGTCCGTGCGTCCGGTTGGCTGTTCACATGATAACTTTTGACAACAGAGTCAGATTGCGATGAAACTTTCTACAAAGCTTAGTCTTGACAATATCTCGGTCGAGTTTGAAGGTGAGAAGGACTGGCCGAGCCGTTCCTGAGTTATTACGAAAATGCCCCTTTTTATCTATAGCATTCTGTGGAAAAATAGACCCATCGCGGCTTTCGTAAAAGAGTTTTCCTATCATAGTCAATTAAAATCCTAACTATTGTAGACCATTCGATAGAGAATTTCAAGAGCTACAAAATGATGTATAAAACATAAAGAAATAAGAAGGTTGACTCGTCTATCGCAAGAATAATTAAAGAGAACTGGGCTATATTTTGGTTCACGATCTAATTGAGCCACAAATCGAGCTCTATCTCCCGATCACAGTGATGATGTTTTGAGGCTTTCAGAGATGGAGAACTCGAATGTGTATTGCACTCCCAACGTAATACTATTGGTTGTGCAGTGGCCAATAGAAATCAAGTTATAGGAAAACTGACTGTTTTAGAGTAAATCAAGGTGCAGAGTTCAAACTTGAGCTGTGTTCTATCCCAAGTCCTATTGGTTTGGCAACGCGCAATGAAAATCAAAATTTGAAATGCTAGTTTTCCCAGTATAATTTTGATGTTCAGACATTCTAGGATGATTGATTCGTATGATCCACTTTTTGAAGTACAGATAACTCTCGGATTTAAATCCGAAGTTTCCGCATTTATTTTTTTGTTAAAAAGAATAAGTCAATACTCCTTATAATATATATATATATGTTAAATAATGAACTATGATATGAATATATTTATATTCTATATATTAAATAGTACTGATATAGTTAAAAAGAAAAAAATTTCTCTTTCGAATATGTTTATATATTCAATATTGGATTTCAATGAACTTTTTATAGTAATATCATTATTGTTTTTATTTTTGTTAAATTGAGAAAAAAAAAATAATGAAATTCTTTATCATATTTGATAATGTTAACAAATATTGATTAAATCTAAAGTAAAATATTGATGATATTTTATATATATATTATCTTATGTGATTATTCATATATATATATATGTAGATAATTAAATAAAAACTAATAAAAATTTACTTGAATATTTAAAAATTTTTTTAAATTTCCTGGTGTTGCTAAATCAATATTTCTAACAATACAACATAATATATAAGGTCGAACATTGACAACTCGAGGTAATATAGTTACTTTAATAAAAAGATAAAATTAGAAAAACACAAAAAAAAAATATTTAAAATAAAACAAACTTTGTTTTCCTTTTAAATCGCCTGGTTGATCAAAATGTAAAATTTCAATTTTATCTTGAATATTTTCATTTGATTTTATTTCTCCTTGTTGTTCTTGTTGTTGTTTAATAATATGAGTTTTAGTTTTAGTTGTTGTTGAAGATATTAATTTTTGTTGATCCTGCCATTGTTTAGATAAATATTCTAAAACAGCTTTTATTTTATCTTGTTCCATTAATTTTTTTAAACGATTATCTTTTAATGGATTTGATTTAAATCGAATTTCTATATATAGAAAAAAACAAAAACTCAATTGAAAACAAAGAAATAAAAAAAAAAAAAAGTAAAAACCTTTTAATTTATGTAATTGACTTAATTGTGGTGGAATATCTGTCAATTGATTTGAATCAATAAAAAGAGTTTTTAATGAATTTAATTGTAAAATAGTATTTGGAAAATGTTTAAATTGATTTGATGATAAATCCATATATGAAAGATTTTCTAATTGTTGAGGAAAATCTGGAAGTTTTTCAAGTTTATTATGAGATAAATAAATAATAGCTAATTTTTTATTATTTTCATATGATAATGATGGAAATTCTTCTAATAAATTATTAGTTAAATTAATTGTTTCTAAATGATTTAATTTAAAAAAAAATTGATCATCTAATTTGGTTAATTGATTATTTGATAAATTTAAATGACGAAGATTTTCAAGATATTTAATCTGATCTGGTAATTTCTTAAGTTTATTTGATGTTAATGTTAATGTTGATAAATTCTTTAATTTTCCAATATCTTCTGGTAAATCATATAATAATGGACATTGACTTATTTCAAGAAAATTAATTCGTTCTAATGTCCATATTGATCGATCTAATTCATTTTCTTCTTCTAAACGTTTATTTATTTTATCACCTGATAATATTAATTCATAACGATGATTTAATAATGCTTGTTCAACTTCAGGCCACATTATTATTATTATTATTATTTATTTCTATCAATAATAGTTAAATATTAGTTTATAAATAAATCAATTGATCTTCACTTCTTTCTTCCGTTCACTTAACTTAACTAATGATTCATTTTTGTTATTTTGAAACGTTTTTTCTTTTTTTTTTTAATTGTGAAAAAAAAAAATATTTTTTCAATTTTATTTAAATAAGATGAAATTGTTTTTTTTTTCTTTTATTTATAAAAAAGAAAAAGAAAAAAAAAAAACTTTTGAAATCTTTCTATAGAGATGGCGTCAATTAATGTTTAACAATCTGTATATAAATGACATCTGTTGAGACTAATATAACATATTACAATCTTATTTCATCTTACATTTATCACGATCAGTCTTTGGAAAAACGACAGTTTGTTTTTCGATATATATATATCATCATTAACATAATTAATTTATCGTACGTTTTTCTTTTATCTTCTTGCTGACTTGATCTATATCATATTGTATATATATATATCTACAAATTTAACATTCAAATAGAAAAGTTATGATGATAAATGATTATTTATGTTCAAACTAGTTAAATATACAATTGATTTTAAAAAAAACAAATCGAATGAAAAATTTTGCTTTCTATTTATATTGAAAACTTCTACTGTTTTCTTTTCCTACTCTATTATTGACAGATATAACAAATATTTTGCAAATATTTACTGTTTTTTTTGCTGAGGAGAATATCATTTAGTCACAGAATTTTAGCAATTATTACATAATTTAAAACAAGATTTTATCAAAAAGCTAAGATGTTTATCATAAGATTTTTATATTCAGAAGTGATTCAGCAAATTTTAAATCTAAGAAAAAACTTGTTGAGATGAATTGTCAAAGATTTTTTCAATCAGGTATCATTGAAACATACATATATTCGAATATTAACTGGTACAATTTTTCTTGAATAATCTTATCCAATTTGTTAAGAGAACATCCGAGAACAAAATGCATAGAGTTTAGATCATGAGAAATGCAATGATGAACAATGACATGTTATTATAATATATAATTAACAAAATTTGATATGTTTTATTTTTATTGAACAATTAACTGTTGGATGAATTAAATACCAACAAAAAACTATCTCAAAAAACATTTTAAATATTGTTTTTAGTTTACAAGATATTTTGTTTATATTGAAGAAATCTTAGCAAAATCACTTATTCTGTTAAAACTAAAATTCTCAATTGAATTTCAAGAAAATCATAATTGGATTCTCATTTGTCAATTTAGAAAATAATCTTAGGAGAGATATTGAACAAATTCCAAACAGAATTTCGTTTAATCATAATAAATGATTGAATAAATGAACTAACTCGAAATCGAAAGAGAATTATCAATAATAGTTAACAAGATTGGACGAAATCAAACATTCTGATTCTAACAGATATTTCTAAACATTATCAAAGAATATTATCTTTGATATATGTTTTATTTTTAAATTCGAAATCAACGTATCAATATAATTTAGTAGAATTTTCCAATTAAGTCAATTCGAATCAATTTATTTTTAGTCTTTATCTTTATTATTCAAAACAAGATTAACAACAAGTTTTGACATAATTACAATGGTCGAAATAACATAATTTTATAGTGAAATGTTAATTATGATGCTTGTTATGTTGAAACAATAAGGTAAATATTGACATCTGACCTAAATACGAAAATAATTCTATAATAATTCGATTTAATTTAATCAATAAAATATTATTTCTAGAAAATAATAAATATTTCAAAAAAAAGAGGATGATACACCTTTGAATGAATTAATCGATTTAAATTTATAGATTATTTATTTAAGTTGTCAAATTATATATATATAGATATCGATGATAACATCAATATTAATATATAATAAAGATATTTTGTAAAATTTGACGAAATTATCAAAAATATATGTTCGACCATAAATAAATACTAATTCTAAAATAATTAAAAAAAAATAATTGGGAAAAATGGATTCGTCGAGTTTGAAAATTTTTAGTTAAGTCTTTATTATCTTGATATATATGTTTATTGTGATCGATAAATAAAAGTTGACATATAAAATAACGAAGATATTCATTCACAATTGATCAATTACTAAAAATCTTTATTAAACATTTATATAAATTTCTGAATAGTTTATTTTTGTTGAATAAAAAACTTGATATTGAACAATATCATTCACATATATTTATCTCTGATCATTAATTTTATTCTATTTTCTAATATTCTTTCCCTAACACATTTTTTTTTTATCATTAAACTTCGAATATAATTTAGTCATTGGCAATAAATTCACTCGTTTAAATAACAACTATAGATTTGTTAAAAAAATAAAAATAGTCAAATGAATAATTGTCTTTAATGCAGTTGAATATGACAGAAGATAAAATATAATGCATATTTAACAAAAAACTAAATAGCCAAATTCAAACTAATGTTTAACCAGAATTTATTTATAAACAGTTAAATTATTGTTTTATTAGAGTATAAACAATGGTAAAATAACAATGTTTACTTGTGAAAAACTTCAATGATGGAATCTATAGAATAAGAAGAACATAATGATAAAAGATACATTCAATTTATGTTTATTTAAGAGCAACTAAAAATCATTTTTCCTCGAAAACTTATTTTTAAATTCATCATATTTTATTTATGCATAATATGATTTCGATGTTTTATTGTTAATATATCTTTGTTGTTTTTCATTAATCGATCAAATCAAACAATCCGAATCAAGTCAATATGAGAATGTATTGATCACTGGTTAGAATATGCTTATGTAGATCTGTTGGTGGTTATCGGTCGGTTAGTATATTCGAGTTTCATCTGTTGTCTTGCAAACTTGTAGAGTGTGATTAAGAGATTATTTATGTTAAATAGTCTTCTTTCAGAAAATAATATTGCCGAAATCAACAAACAGTATTCAGTTTGATCGATATTTAATTGAAGAATATTAACAAGTAGTTTGTCAGTGTATATGTCTGATTTGAATATATTAAATATATAGCTAAATATGTTTTTTGTTTTTCAATTATCTTCTTCGATATCGAATTACTAATGAAACGAAAAAACAACAAACATATTCTCTTTCTGTAAGGTTGTATAGAGAGATTGGATCTATTTATCATGTTGACATGTTTATTATATAGTGATAGTATAGGATTCGTTTAATCTTTATTCAATAATATGAATAATGTTTGTTGAAGGAATTTTTTTAAAAAGAATATTAGGATAAAATGAGTAAGATATGAAAAAAAAAGGAGAATTTTTTGTATCTAGTTGTTGATTGAAGACGATTCATTTATGTGCTTCCTGGTGGTTTTATTCATCCCGAATTACAATTTGAACAAACACAGATTCTATAATTGTTACAATAACCTTTATTGCATTTTTGTTGTTTGCACATTTCAACACATTGATCGGGAGTACCATTTGGACATGGAAATGTTCCTGTTGGCTGAGCCACTATCACAATAAGAATTAAAACATACAATAAATCTTTAAAACGTTTAACATAAGTGTAACTCACTTGTTGATAAGACAATGATTGATAATAGAATAGCCATAAAAGCAAACAAAAAACGCATCTTGTTTATGAAGTGGCAAATACTCTCTAAAAAGGTTCATATAGTAGTTCTATTCAATATATAAATGTCTATCATAAATTTGAGTCTTTCTTCAATTTTAAGAATAAGTTAAAATAGATGTATAGCTCATTGTAGAATGATTAATCTTTGTGCAATCGGTTGCAAAGACTTTTTAAGTTTTTTCGAAAGCTAACAATTTTTTATTTAGTATACAGTTTTTGTGCGTTTAAATGTAAGACTTTTTAAGTTTTCAAAAAATAAAAATATTTGTTTTTATAGAAAAAGCGCATCTGAAGACGATAATAGCCATAAATTCACTTTATATAAAAATGAAGATTGTTTTATTTTTTTCGTATATTCATTGTAAAAAGCTTAGATATTATCGCGTTAAAACATATTAAGATGAACTGTTATTAGTCTGAATAACGATCAATAAAAAAATAATCACTTACATGAGGATGGTTGAATATATTCTCTTACGATTATTTAAGAGATTTTAGGAAGATCGAACATTCAAATATGGTTTTTTACAGTCTTTTATATATGTATATATGTATAGGTTATGAAAGGAAGTAACTATGCTGAAAATACTTGTTGAATATGGCTGCGCAGATAGAGTTGATCAAATATTTACATATATACGATTGTATTTGTTGATTAACTCTATAGAATAAAATAGAAAAGAAAATTAAGGTACATTAAGCAAATACAAATATACTATATTTACTTACTTGAGACATAAAGAAAAATTAAGTTCTCATCAATAAACATTTAATTGTCCATAGACACAATTTTACCTGAGGAGGTTAGAAAAAACAAAAAACATGATCAATTGTAGATAATATGATGAAATATATAGTAAATATTGACTGAATCAGTACCTATTTGACGTTTACTTTCAATAATATTTCGATAATGACTGTTGATTCATAGGCCACCCTGTATTGAAATTATGCCTTTTCATCTCAGGAAATATAATAGTAATTATGAAAAGCTATTGAAAATTTTATGAATAAATGACCTCTGAAAACAGATTTTAGACGGGACGGGGTGAGGCGGTGACGGTTTCATTGTTGGATAGGCGGGATGGTGGCGGTGCGAAACCTTATTGACGAGGCGGTGGCGGTGCGACTTTTTGGCTGCTCCGTCCATCTCTGATTCAAAGTATTCATTTGAATACCCAGGCAGACAAACTTTTGAGAAAACGCGTTTAAGCGCGTTTTCTCAAAAGTTTGTCTGCTTGGGTATTTCTGCTTCTTTTTTATTGATGCCTTCAATTTATTTTCTTGTATTATAGATCTATTCATTCTTTTCATGTTTGTAATTCCTATCAAACTTTGACAACAAAATAGCAGTGCAAATGAGCCTATAGCAACTCCATACTAATAATGAAAATGAAACACAGGAATCTTGCTAGGTTATTCAAGATATTCTCCTATTCTGAGCTAAAAAGGATCCGACGTGATTTCCAAGAAATGCAAAATTCTTTCCAGATGAGAGACATCTTGCCTGGTCATTTAAAATTTTGTCTGTTGGTCTCTTGTCTGAGTTTCAAGATCTAGTTTTCCAGGCAATAACATGTACTTTTCTGCTATCTCCAGTAAAACAGGGACTTTGTATACAATTACGTCATGTAATTGATGATTCTTTTTTAGAGAAAAATGAAATAAAAGCAAGCATTTTCTTATTCGTTACTGTAACTAGTAAATACTGCAATAGTTCTCTTTTTTCCTTTTAACTCTCTTATTGGTTCACAGTATCGCTAACAACCAAGTAGAAAAAGAACTAAAAATCAGGAGAAAATGTTGAAGATCAGCTCCTGAAATCACGAAATTTTCTATCAGGAGTCTCCTGGTCAAATTAGGAGGTTTGGCAAGCCTGATTATGAATATGAACAAAAAGAAGTGAAATTTCATATATAGTTAAATAAATAAAACAAATGTTTTATTGAAGATATATATCGTTCCGAGAGATATATTACTTAGGGCATATCAAAATGAGTGGCGCCAACCCTATAATATTTTACAGAAGACTTGAGAAAATTGTTTTTTTTTCTATATATTCTGATAGCCGAAGTCGTGCTCCATAATTCTACAATATTTTATAAATCTTCAAGTGATACCATATTAGCAAAAATTTTGATGCTCTAAAGTTTGCTGTAATTCGAGAATAAACAAGAACTAACGACACATACGCAGAAAAACAAACAGAGAACGTGTGTTTTATATGTATAAACGCTGCTAGGTATCAGAGAAGTTAAAGAAACAAAGCCAACAAAGAAAAAAATGAGAGAAGATTAAAAGAAAAAACCGAGAAGAACAGAAATAACATGTCCACAACAATATAGCACAGTGTTTTCAACGTAGATCGTAAGACGATCAAAACCATTTCGTTCTCTTCAAATGGATCAAGAACATTTTCGTTTCTATATTAAAGTGCGTACTACACTTCATATTCAACCAATAGTTCTTCATAACGAATTATATACTGCCTTTGGTGATGAGATTCTCCCTCTCAGAACTGTTCAGAGATGGTCAAAATGGTTTCGTGAAGGTCGAGAAGAAGTTGAAGATGTAGAAAATCTGACAGAGCTAAATGGAGACAACATCTGAAAATATTGAACAAGTTCACGATCTTATTAATGATGATCCTAATGTTATCATTGACGAACTCGAAGCACAAAGTGGTCTCAGGCGTGGTACTGTTCAACGAATTGTTTGTGATCATCTTCAGTTGAAAAAACTTACTGCACGATATATTTCCAAACATCTGACAAACTCTCAAGAGGCTGAACGAGTACGAATATACCAAGAAAACTTGTTAAAATTTGAACAAGGTCTTTGGCGATTGTGTGATGTGATGACAAGTCATGAATCATAGTTTTATCACAAGCAAATCGGTCGAAAATCATCGAATGCTGCATTGATAGCAAGTGGGAATCCTGCTCCAAAGCTGGTTCGACGTAGTCATTTTGCTCCAAGAACTCTTTTGTCTATTTTCTTTCAGTCAACTGATCCAGTTTTTATTCATTCTGTTGCACGTAGACAAACACTCGACCATCAATATTACCCAGGTCGAAGAATCCCAGACTCGGATTCAATAGGAAACCCCAAACAATCCCATGCTTTTCGACAGGGATCCGACAAATTCCGATAAGATCCTGCCGGAACTCGTCTGAATCCTTGGTACAGGATTCCGATAGAAAGTTGTCGGATGTCGGATCCGATAGTTGGAAAATGTCGGATACATTCGGAATCCGCTGGAAGCCTGTTGAATTTATATCTGAACATTAGATATTGTTTGCCTTCCCCTTCACTTTCTTCCTCATCTACAATTAGCTGCAAATTAACAGCTTAAATCTACTCTATTTTAACTTTTTATTAAATAAAATAAGTTACAATAAAATAAAATATAATAAAATAAAAATAAAACTTAAGTAAATAAATAAAGTAAAATAAATAATTTCCATTCACTGTTGATAGGCTTCATGCCGTAATATAATCTAAAACAAAATAGAATTAAATAAAATAAAATAAAATAAAAATATAATAAATGAAATAAAGTATCTATAGATATTTTCGTGGCAACGGATCCGACAAATTACCATTGTCAGATTTCATCGAATCCTATTGTCAGAATTCGACAGAATCCAACAGCGGAAATTAACGGATGTTGATGGTTTCCGACAGTTGGATCCGATCGGATTCCGCCTGTCGGATAGTGTCGGATCCGACAGGGTGAGTTCGACCTGGGTACATCAATAGTTGTTTGAAACCTGTTATTGATGAAATTAAGAACCAACGGCCTTCTTTATGTATTCGAGCAATTAAACTTCATCATGGTAATGGAAAATCACATGTTCATGAAAATATAGTCAATTATCTTGGATTGGAAAGTGTAACAATAATGCCATATCCACCTAATTCTCCAGATGTGGCTCCATGTGACTTTTGGTTGTTTGATTTAATCAAACGAAATCTTGACGATCAAGATGATTCTGAATTGTTGTATGAAGCTGTGATCAAATGTATGAAGTCGTTGAAAAAAAAGAAGAGTTATAAAAAAAACTTTTGATAAATGAATTCAACGAATGCAATTATGTGTAATTAACCCAGTGATTATTTTGAACATTTGATGTAATAAAAACTTGATAAACTTGATTCAAAAAAAATCTTTCTGTGAACCATTCACTATTTTTGTTATGTTTTCAATATTATAATATCACTTGAAGATTTATAAAATATTGTAGAATTATAGAGCACGACTTGGGTTATCAGAATATATAGAAAAAACGAATTTTCTCAAGTCTTCTTTAAAGTATAATCAGGTCGGCGCCACTACTTTTGGTGTGCCCTAAGTAAATAGAAATCTTATCATTGATATATTTATGAAGATTTTATGAAAAGATTCAACTGATTATAAATAAACATAATTGAAAATCTATATTTATGTATAAATCAATCGATTTAATGGAGTTAATCAAAAAAAACCAAAAGTCTTCAAGAGACGATCGATTATTAGATTGTTTTTTTCTAATGAAATCTTTTGTTGACCATTATTTAACGTATTATTTAAGAGAGTATTAGTTGTAAAATCGAACTTACTTGAAACTAGAAAATATTGCTTCTGATTTCTATGATTTATTCGAATAAATATATTGATAAATAGAACATATTATATTTACTCGCACATAAAACAAAAAGAAAAAGAATATAGCTGTTCTTCGAACTCTTCTTCTTAATCAATATGTTAATATAACAATATGTTAATATATCAATATTGACCTTGTTTTCATTGTTTAGAAAAATATTCAAAAAAACATTTTATTTTATCTTGTTCGATTCATTTTTAAAAAAATAAAATCATCTTTTTATCCAGTTAAATCAAATCAAATTTTCTAAAAACAAAAACAAATAAATAAATAGTTGATAAAAGAGAAAAAAACTGATATTTAATCAACATAATGGAGTTAATTGAAATATTTTTATATTAAATTTTAATATAAAGGTCAATATGGTAAAATATTTGAAAAGGTCCTATCTGTTCATATATAATAATATAAACAAATAATTCTATGAAAGAAAAATGTCGATGTTATTAAGATATGATTTTTTTTGCTCGCGAGATGAATGACATATTATTATGGAGAAGAAAAATAAGAAACAAGCGAAAGATTTTTCTTTTTTTCTTCTTATTCTAGATTTCATATTTTCTTGATAAAGTAAGATTTATGTTCTATATTAAGTAAGACGTTAGCTGAAATATTTTACCGTCGAATAACATAAAATAATGAATAGAACAAGTTAATTAGTTGATCAATAGTCTATAGATGAAAGAAGAAAGATATATATATATGAAAGAGATCGAGTTCGGTTCTATAGGAAGAAAATAAAGTGCATAAACCACCGTAGGCTTCGTCTTATTTTTCTAGTCGAGCAAATTTCGAGCACAAGAAGCTAGGAGCAAAGATGCTTTGTTTTTCTGAGAAAAATTTTCATGACATTAGTTAGATTTGCTAATGGGGGGTGGATACTGTCAAAGTTAACAAGTTAGGTTAATCAAATCATCGACGACGTTCTCTATTAAATGATTTTGACGAGTTTAACTCGAAAGAAGAAAAAAGAAACAGGACATCTTTCATTTGAATAGATTCATCATTCGACAATCGGATGTTGTTTACTTTAACTAGATCATATTGACCTTTATTTGATCAAGTAATCAATTCAATTCTATATTCGATTTTGTGATTATTAACATCAATTCAAATATATATTCGATTGTCGAAATTTATCATCAAGTAAGATTTGATCAGTTAACTTGAATATAATTGATGAGATGATCATTATTAACTAGATTGAACGTTTTTTTTTCTTTGTTTATTACAGTTTAGTTGTATCGATGATCAAAAAATACAAATAAAATATCTTTATTTAGACATAATCTATAATAATAATTGATAATATTGACATTTATCAATTGATTATTATTATTTCAATCAATTTATTTATATAGAATTTAGAGAAATAAATTAATTTAACTTGAAATTAAATCGAAACTATTTACAAATTATAGATTTTCGTTAATGATTAAGCTTTTTTTGTTTCCTATTCGAGTTATTAAATATAAAAGTTAAATAAGAAATTGAATATTGAAAAATTTTTATTTTATTATTAAACATAATCTATTTTATGAATAAATGACTTGGAGAAAAATCTTTTGATTTATTTGATAAATAAATGAGAATAGATTTTTCATTATTATCATTCAATATAGAATTAATTAATTAAACAATAAAAGAGACTATTTAACATGAATATTATCAAGAGTTTCAATTGACACTAAATATATATTCGATATAAAAGTAATGAAATTTATTAATTTAATTGAAGAATAATTCAAGTTTTTCAATAGAAAACAAAAAATAATAAAGATATTAAACTATAGAAGACTTGAATATAAATCTATCTTTATTAAAAACTAAGAACATATTTAAGAAGAATAAATATAGATTTAGAATTATTTATAAAGAATATATTTGTTTTGTTTTTTTATATTCCAAGTGGTAATATAAAATGATATAATAATAATGTATCTTTCACAAATAGTCAATATGAATGTAACTATGAAAATGACAATAGAAAATCCATCTAAATCATCATCAATAATTGTTTCTATATTTATTGGTATTTGTTTAAGTCTTATTGCTTTAATAACAGCTCTTGGAAATATAGTAGTACTTTTGGCCTTTTATTGTGAGAAGAAATTACGTACAATAAATGGTAATTTCATTTTGATTTTATATTTTGATTTATTATTAATAAGTTTTTTAAAAAAAAGATTATTTTATATTAAATATGGCTATTGCTGATTTTCTTGTTGGTTTTTTCTGCATTCCATTTTATATTCCATTTAGGTTAGTTTGACTTGTTGTTGTTGTTTTTTGTCTAAATTTATTTATCTTATTAAATTATTCTTTAGTATTAAACAATCATGGCCATTTGGACGTCTTTTTTGTAAAATTTGGGTAATTTAAAATAATATGAAATGAATAAATTAATAAATAAATCTGAATATAATATCTTAATAGGTAACTATTGATGATGTTGTAACGATGGCAAGTGTTATTAATATAGTAGCTATCAGTATTAATCGTTATTGGTCAATTGCTTATCCCATATCTTATCGAAAATATGTACGACAAAATCTTGTTTATATAGTTATGGGTGTTGTTTGGTGTCTTTCTTTTAGTAAGTTATTTATTTAATAAAAAAAAATTAGTATAAATAAATATAAATGATAGTAAATTTTGCTCCTGGTATATGGTTATTATCTTTATTTAATAAAGAAAAAGTGGAAAAAAATGAAACAAATATTGATTGTTCAGGCGATTATCATAATTCATTTGTTTATATGTTAATAGCACAATTTAATTATTTTATTTGGCCATTTATATTATTATGTTTACTTAATATGTTAATTATGATAAATATATGGAAACGAACTCGAAAAATGACTCGTCTTACCAAAACTAATCAATCTATTAAATTAAAAGAAGAATATATTGTTTCATCTCCATTAGGAACAAGTAAAGATACAGAAGATGATCAAACATTATCAATATTATCTAAACATAATATTTATCCTCGACAACCTTCAACATCAACTATAATTAAACAAAATAATAATATTATTCAAACATTTTCTAATAAGAAAAATCTTCCAATATTATTTAATAAATATAATAATAAATCATCAAAAAAATCTCAATATAATATAACATATTTATCATCATTTATTCGAAACAAATCTTCAAATATGTTTGTATACAAATCAATTTTCCTTTTTTTTATTTTTATTTTTTTTTTTTTTTAGAAAAAATTCTTCAAAAAATTCATATTCAAATAAAATAGATTTAAAAGAAATAAGTAGATCATCACCAATACAATATTATTCTAAACAATCAGCAACTATGAAGAAATTCGTATCAGGTAATTATTGTCAAAATTCCATAAAAGAATGTCAATTGGAAAATGATATTGAATATGATAATGAAACTGAAAATGATCAATCAAAATCAATATCAAATGATATTGTTTCATCAAATATAACTAAAACAAAATGTCAACAATATCGTCAAGCTCGATCAAGAATTATTCGTGATAGAAAAGCTGCACGTTCTTTATTTATTTTAGTTATTGTTTTTCTTATATTTTTATTTCCATATGTTATTTGTGCAACAGCATCAACAGCTGGTTTAAATGTATCAAAAATAATATTTGAAATATCATTTTGGCTTTTATGGATGAATTCAGCATGTAATCCATTTCTTTATCCATTTATACAAATAAAATATCGACGAGCTTATATTAAATTATTTCAATCTTTTATTAAATATTTAACTTTTTCTCGATCAAATCATATATTTTAATTTTTTTCTTTTATTTAATCAATAATTAATAAATTATTGATCAGATTTATTCAAATCAATGAAACCGAATTTCTTTTTAAATAACATTTGATCAATCGATCTCTATATATGAAATGATTACTAATAACAAAACTCATCATATACAAACAGAGAAAAACACACAAACAATATCTCAATAATAATATCTTATTAGATTGATCATCATCAAAGAGAATAAATAATGAATATGTCATGTTAGATCATCTTTGAACAGACAAAAGACATGAATAAGACATCGCCAGATAGATGACTACACATCAAATAGAGACAAGATAATAAATAAAGTCATACTTGTGATAAAAAGAGAGTCCCAAGTAATGATATTTGTTGTTTTTCTTCCCTATTGAGTATTATGTTTGTTCATTGAAGAAAACAATATTAAGTTCGACATATGAGTAGATTTTGTTCATCTACCATTAAATTAATCACGAATTCTATTTAAATGAAATAATCTATTCTATTATCAAATTTCATCATGAATTTTTTTCTTCAGATTTAACTATATTATATTATATCTTATATGTTAATATAATATATAAAACATGCAAATATAAATAGAATATTTTTTTTTTGAAATTCAAATTCGATTTGATAAACAAAGAAATAAACAAGAAACAAATTTTCATATAAAAGTGAACAAGCTGAAAAAGCAATTCCAATTTTAGCTCAAGCATTTTCAAATGGATTTTTTTGCTGAAGTTAATTGTCGAATATTACCTGAACATTTACTTGATCAACTTGCACAACAAGTTTATCAATTTTTTCGAAAACAAGGTTCTTCTTTAAGAAAAAAAAAAAACCTTTTTACACTAATATATTTTAAATAGGTACATTAAATCGTTCATTAATATTGAATAGATACATAGAAGAATCTCTTCTTAATGAATATGTTAATAAAATCTATGTTGGTGATTTTGAAGAAAATAATATTAAAACAAATGAAAACTATCCTTCACATAGAAATGAATTTATAATTTCTTGAAATCTTCAACTATTTTGATTGATGATGAGTTCAATAAAATCAAACTATACAAATAAGAGCTTATTTTCATAGCTGATTGATTATTCTTTGTTGTTTGAATAAGAAACATCTATCGTACCTAGTGCACAAAAATCGATGAAAATATGAATAATGTTCGCAACAATAAACCTAATAGAATTAATTTATATTCTAGAAAATGAGGTGAACGGAAAGCAAAGTTGCAGTAAAAAATTTTTTCGATGTTTTATATATATCATTAGGTAGAGAATTTCAAAGCGATCAAGAATATATGTCTTTTGAATTTTGTTGAGGCTTTCTTCCATTCGAAAAAACTCGATTTTTCGTCTATTTTTTTATAAAATTGAGTTGTCCAAGTTTTGCGCCAGCTTGAATTATTTAAACTGCTATATTCTTGTTCAGCTTTGCGAACTAAATTAGAAAATGGCGTGAAAGACGTTTCAGACCTAAACGTCTGCCCGTCAAGGCCGTCAAAAGTCAAGTGACTAAAATTTCCAAACCCATTCTTGCAAACTTTTCACGAGTTTTTTTCCAGATGCTAGAGCCAATGTTTTCACATGGATCGACTCGTTAGATGCTCCTCTTCAAAAGTATACGTGCAGTTCTTTGAAATATTTTGTCTTTGATGAAAAGAGTCGGTTTTACTGAGCACTATGCTAAAATGGCGAAGTCTTTTTCGAGTTTTTCGCAAGTTTTGCTCAAAATACAACTGCAAGAACGTCAAGTAGGTTAGAAATCATGGATGATTTCATGAAGGATGTGGTTGTGGGTGAAGGAACGGTTGAAATCGTGAGTCAGACCACACACTAAGATGATTGTTTATATTCTAGAGTACCCTCTGTTATATATACAGTACAGTTTTGGTAATTGTCCATGCAACTATAGTTAAGATATAAAATCAAAATATAGCCTAAGGATTAATAGTTGTTGAAAATGATTCTTTTCCTAAAATATTGATCTTTTTTACGAAAAGTAAAAATGTCCAAGATTTGGTTGAGTGATGTGATATCCTCACGCGAGTCCCAACAAAGAAATATTTAAAAGATAAAAAACTAGCGGGGGCGGGGGCTTTATGTGTCAGTTCCTTTATTGATTTAGTTGACTTGCAGTCGTGAAATTTAATGAAAAGACAAGCAACAAAAAAGCAAGATTTCACTATATTTAATACTATTTTATTTATTTTAACCCAGTTATTAAATGAGAAAAAAGTTTCATAATCATACATACTTTGCATTGCTTTCACTGTATTTTTTTGAATTGTTGCTGTAATATTTCATAAGTAACAGAACGAAAAAAGATAATGCTTTTTAATAGCCTACTTTAGTTATGTTTATAAAAATGTAAAACCACCTGTTAGACAATCATTTGAGTAAACTTTGTTTAGACAAAAAAATATTGATGAATTCGAAAAACAGATGTATATTGCAATTTTCAATGAAAAATATAATTGTTCGAGGACCATCCCAAGAGGCCATCCGATAGGTGTTTCGATGATGGATCAGTAAAACGTGGAGTTTTCGACCAGTCGAATGATTTTAATCGAGAGATTAAAAATAAATGTTTTCTAAATAGATGTCTTAGTCTCAAGTCACTGAAACCTAGCGAATAAATGCGGAGGAGAAGTTTAGAACATAGATGCTTACGATGAACCGTCGTCGAACATCTAAACTAAATATGAACTATTTTTCTTCTATGAAAGTTATCTTTTCAGTCCTTAAATGAATAGTACTTAGGGATATCATTCTTCTGTTAATTTATTTCAAATTTAAATTTGCGAAATATAATTTTTTTTCTGAATTTAACATGAAATTAAAGTTTTCCGGTTCTGTTTTTTCGATTTAATAAATCATAACTGTCAATTCATCAGCTTAATAGCACTTTGAATTTTAACATGTATAAACAGTTTTTCAAAATCGGTTTAAAAAATATTAATCGGAAAAGACACTTTTTCGTCTAAGTAACTAACAAATCGACTTTTTCGCGAGTTTCAAATATCATTTAATCAGTTAATTGATAAATTATTGACTTTTTTTGCTAAGGTATAAAACTAATACTTTAGATTTTTTTCAAAGATTCGTAACAATATTCATTACGATTGTGTTCTATTTAATATCACTTCAAATTTCATTCTTACCTGTGGTTTTCTATTATTTTATGTCAATCACTTTTTTGAAAATTATAAAATTAAGGAAAATTATTTGTGCAATATAGATCATTCTTCTAAGGTGATCTAATGAAGAAGGCATATGCAAATCTTTTTTTGAAGAAGTTGCACAAATTCAAAATTCACATAATCACTTTTAAATTGTTTTTATGATCGTCGTGTTTCTTCTGGAGCACTCATTACGGCACTTCCGATATCTTTATTGCACTCGAGTACTTGAAACTTCGACAAGTATCGATGGATCGAAAACTTCTCGAGGAATCGAACATAGATCTTCGATAGGACAATTTTCGAGTATTAGAAATCCGATGACTGCCAAGGAAATTGAAATCAAGATAGAACGAATAAAAAATTATACATTTAACATCTTCGAGTGCTCATTGCTCTCTTCGTATATTTTTTTATTGTCTGCTTCGGACCCTTATTTTCATATTTATGCGGCAAATGAGTAGAGAAATCACCCCTTACAAATGTTTCATTTTCTTTTGTTTTATTGCCATGATGCAATAGTAAGCTATTCTGTTGATGATCACTGTTATCCATGGATGACGCGAAGTTCAATTACCATGAAATATACTATTTACTGAACGATAGTTTTTGACTATTACTGTTTCTATTTGGATGCATATGAATCGACAGCAAATGACATCAAGATTGGACTCAAACAAAAGAATAATATGGACCAGGATAAATGGTCAATAGATTTATGAAAGAAAGAATGTTGACCGATTCCATCATGATAACAACGAAGTAATTTAACAATGAATGTTTTTTGGTCAGTGAATGGTTGTATTATAGAAGTTAATATTGTACATACGCTCTAACTTTTCATCCTCACATGATTTTATTTTTGATAATACGAAAATCAGAGGATTTTGTTTTTGAATAGTTACGCGATCGATTACTCATTTGTTGTATGAAATCTTTCATAAACAGACTATACATTATATAATATAAGCGTGCTTTTTCCTTCTTCTATGGTGTTCAACTAGTTACGATTAGGGTGTCAACATTAAATGGGCCATTCTTTTTCTTCTCATCTTTACTCATTCTATATTAATTGTAGCCTAGTTCTTTCCGCTGGAACTATGTCTAAATTGTTACCGAATATATTCGTAAGGCATAACATGTCATAGTTATTTGCATTAATGAGAGAAACAAGAAAATATATAAATGAACATAGATGTGATGGTTATCGTTTCATGAAATTGTTTTACCCTGTACTGTTACATTTATTAGGAAATCTAAAATTAGATGATTCATTTTTATCATTTTCACTGAAAATACAAGATAACATAATATCAATTCATTTTTAGACATTCTCTTTTTTTGTGTACTCAAAAAGTGAGTACACTCTAGAATCGGTCAGTGTGTCCGTCCGTCCATTAACACGATAACTTTTGAAAGGAGAGTCCCATCGCGATGAAATTTTCTACACAGTTCAGTCTTAACAATGTCTCGATCGAGTTCGAAGATGAGAAGAATTGCCTGAACCATTCCTGAGTTATTGCAAAAATACTCATTTTTTCCTATGGCTTCCTATGCGAAAATCGACCATTCCCACTTTCCTAAAAAACTTTTCCTATCATACTCAAGCAAAACCCCAGCAATTATATACAATTCGATAGAGAATTTTACGAGATACAAAATGGTATATAAAACATAAAGAAACAAGAAGGCTAGCTCACCTATTACAAAGATAAATAAACGGATATCGGTTCTGTTCTTGTCCACGCTCTAATTGGTCCACAATTAGAGCACTATCTTTTGATAAGAGGTGATGCTTGATGGTGTGAGTGTGGACGTGGGTGTGGGGTGTGGGTGTGGGGTGTGGGGTGTGGGTGTGGGTGTGAGTGTGGGTGTGGGTGTGGGTGTGGGTGCGTGGTGTGGGTGTGTGGTGTGGGCGTGTGGTGTCGGTGTGGGTGTGGGTGTAGATGTGCATGGGTATCGATGAGTGAAGAGAAGACACGCACATCCCACACCTACACCGCTCACCCGCACCCCACCCACACCCTCCCACCCACACCCACACCCACACCCACACCCCCACCCCCACCCACCCTTGTTTTTCGATTTTTGGGCCTAGAGTACCCGCTGGAGATACGAGTCGTTATGTGATGTGTATGTGTGTGTTGACGAGTGTGTCCGTCTTTCCGTGGCACCCGCAATAGTCGCGACGTATTGTTATCATTTGCTGTACTTCTAGCGGCATATGGGCAGATGAAGGAAGTGAGGGTTTCGCTTGGGAAGTGTTTTTTTGGTGAAGTCGGATTTTGAGTAATGTTGCTTTTGTTTTTGTAGCGTCGATGTCACTTGGAGTTGAGTTCGAACTCGTAGAATGATATGTTGAATGTTAATACGGAATCATGCGCACAAATCAATCGTGGTATGAAATGTTATGCTCCTATCTTGAATAATACGACAGCTGTATGCCACCAGCTTCTACTGCTTATCTTATGCCAATATCATAATTGTCGTCAATGCAGTATCAATTACAATGGTCCTCAGATAATCATCATCTCATGTATGGTAGAGAGTTTTCACGCATCAGCGTTTTTGCAGAAGGATTTCGGTATCAATATCGATGAACATGAAACGAATTCCACAGGGCCCGACGCGTACCCGATTAACGATGGTCTCGCGGAAGCCGTATAAGCCATGCAGCAGTGTGGTTTAGATGGAAATCAATGGATGGACGACGAATAAAATGAACCTAGGAACAGATGCTTTTCATAAGAAAAATGAATCGTTCGCTGATATGTTACTGATATTGCATTGAATTGAGCTTCGTGTGTGTGGGTGTGTATGAGTGTGAGTG